AAAAAAAAAAAAAAAAAAACAGAGCAAGAGGGAAATACAGAGAAATATGTCAGGAAAGGACTTCCTAAGCAAAATACCAAAGACAGAAAAGGAAAAGACTGATTGACAGATGTTGAAAGAATTGCCTTCATAAAAATTAAGAAAATTCAGACCTCAAAAAATGTCAGCAACAAAATTAAAAGCTAATGGTAAAGTGGGAAATGTATTTCCAATATACATGACAGATTATGAGTTACTATTTCTAATATATACAGAATACATGAATCTATTAGAAAAACACAAATACATATTTTTTTTCAAAAGAAAAATATATATACATACAAATCTGATAAGCAAAAATTGATTGCTTGTTACTATAGAACTTTTGGGAAAAGAGCTGATTAATAAAAGGGATACTTGCACAAAATCATAAAAGAAGCTATGTGTGAGTATACTGAAGAAATATAATATACACATAAAACCCTAACTCATGATGCAATAGAGATTTAAATGTCATTATGACAAATGCCCCAAATTTACATAAAACCTCAAAAATTAAATGGAATCCAAGCTACTAGTAGGTAGTCAATAATTCTAATAATAGATGCCTCTTTACTCATTGTTTACTAAGATTTGGATTGAACAGTATGGCAGAAGTGACATGAAAATTGATGATTTTATCTATACCTTGATTAACATTTTATAATTTTATGAGTTTAGTTCTGAACAGAAGTAAGGATGATTTTCCGCTAGGGAAATCAAATTTAAATGGCAATAGTAAAACCAAACAAAATGGAACAATTTCTCTTTGCTTCTGGCTAACACAATAGTCATGTGTCAAATTATTTATTTTAAAAGTATTATCTAAAGATATACAGTATTTCTGCAATGATCTGATACTTAGTACAGAACAACTATTTTAAAAGAGCCTGACTTAGTTTTCAGCTAGGTCTTTCAGAACCTTTCTTCTTTGTTTAGTACCAAGTATACTTTAAACTGTGTAAGGTCCACCTGTAACAAAGTCATTCACATACATTTAGATGTGCTGGATTCTAAATTTTTTTAAATGTATGTTTAGAAAGATTATCTACTATAAACAAACATGCAAACTCAAATAAAATTTTAGAGCATAGAACCTAATTAGGTACTAGAGTAAAAGGTAAATTTAATGTTAACTTTATATGCTTCACTCAAAAGAAAAATGTGAGTCTGACTTTTATTTGTCCCACTGTTGTTTCCAGTCCAAATAGTATTTCTCTAAAGCTAAAGACATCTTAGCAATATGATATCCTTCCTGAGAACAATGGATCAAAACATGAGGACTATCCTTAGAAAATCGTCATGACCAGTCTTCATACTGTTTTTCTTAAAGGTTCACCTCCCACCCAAACTAATGCTCCTCTGAGAGTAAAGCCAAATCACAATGTATGACTGTATATATTATGTACTCTCCTTGACCATGCCTGCTTTTTATAGCTATTGTAAGAAGTGCAGTTTCCATGAGGGAAGAAAAAAAACCTAAGAGAACGTAATATATGCAATAATAAATGGATTAAAATTATTTTTTTAAAACAGGCTGAATTTCTTTCCCAAAATAATTAAACACTAATATATTCATATATGGTTTAGTAAAGAGCCTCAGTGCCTCATTTACTATCCACGAGGCAGATACAGAAACATCTTGCTTTGCAGGGCTAAGTTAGCGTAAGGGTGTGCAACACAACTAATACTCTTCACCAAACTGGGTACACTGGACCACTTAGCAAAATACATTCTGAATTCTACCCTATTTAAGAAAAAAAAAAAAAAGGCAGGGGAGGTCAAACAAACAAAGTAGAATTAGGTTCACAACAATTTAAGTGAAAAGGTACTACTTACATCCTACATATACTGAGTCAGATTTCCTAGAACAAAGACTTTCACCAGCCTAATAAAGATAACATTTTGTCTCTTGATGAGATTAGCCAAGGACCATGTTGTCATTCAATGATCAAAGTATAATTCATTAAAATATTTTTTAAAAGAAAGAAAGAAAAAGACAACCCATGGGATAGGAGAAAATATTTGCAAATTATATACCTGATAAGGATCTCATATTCAGAATACATAAAGAACTCCAACAACTCACCAATAAGACAACAACCTAATTTTAAAATGGGCAAAAGATCTGAGTAGATGTTTCTCAAAAGAAAATATACAAATGGCCAAGAAGCACATGAAAGAAAGCTCAGTACCATGAGGCATTAGGGTAATACATATCAAAACCCCAGTAAGATACTACTTCACACACCCAATAGGATATTTATTTTTTAAAATATGAAAAATAACAAGTGTTTGTGACAATGTAGAGCAATAAGAACCTTTATAGATTACTAGTGAGGCTGTCCAGTGATGGAGCTGCTTGGGAAAACAGTTTGGCAGCTCCTCAAAAAGTTAAATATAAAGTTACCACAGGACCCAGCAATTCCACTCCCAGGTAGTTACCCAAGCCAAATAAATACACACACCCACACAAAAACCTGTTCACAAATATTCACAGCAGCATTATTCATAACAGCCAAAATATGAACACAACCCAAATGTCCATTAACTGATGAAAGAAAAAATAAAATATGACAGTCATACAGTATTGAAAGAAATGCTACAACATGGATTAACCTTGAAAACTTTGTTAAGTGTAAAGGGTGGTCACAAAAGGCCATGTAATATGTGATTCCACTTATATGAAACATATAGAATAGGAAAATCTATAGACAGAAAGTAGATTAGTGGTTGCCAGGAACTAGGGGGAGGGAAAAAGTGGCTGTTAATGCGTATGGGGTTTCTTTCTGTGATGATGAAAATATTCTGAAATTAGGTAATGGTGATGGTTGTACAACTCTGTGAATACACCAAAACCCACTGAACTGTACACTGTAAAAGAGTGAATTTTATGATATGTGAATAGTATCTCAATAAAACTATTATTTAAAAAAGAGAAAAATGAATAAACGGAAAAGTGTAATTTTCAATCAGGATGTAAATATTTTCAGTGAATATCTTCTTAATAACACCATGAATATGTCTTCAAAAAAATCAAAAGGAAGGTCTTCTTTGAGAATCTCAAAGTTGATACTAAAATGGGGAAAAAAGTTTGTTAAACAGCTTAATCCAAGGAAGTTTCAGGATAAAGGCACAGGTGCCTCAGGCTTCTAGGAAGCTTTTTCTAAAATACAAGATGTTTTTGAGAAGGACTGAAATAAACTAAAACACGCCGCAGATTTCTGCATGTTTCTTCATCCTTGTCCACATTTCTGTTCTAACCTACTAGATTTGAATCATGAAGCCAAAAGCATGAGACCCAAGCCCCCTTTATATACTAATGGCCCAGATTAAATAAATACTAAATCTCAGAATTAAAAAACATTAGAACATTACAATTACAGGTGCAGGGGCCTCAAACAATTATTTCGCTCCCCTCTCAATCCAGTCCAGTTAGGCTCACAAATTCCAGAAATGCAAGTTTTCTTATTCTTTTAAATTTTAAGGGAAAGGATAAAATACCTCTTTTAGAAATGTCTATTGCTTTTTTAAAAAAACTTATTTTAAACTACCACACCAACTAAAATGAACAGCAATGTCAAGCTGGCTCAGTCAAATAAATAATAATGGAAAAGCATCAGTCTATTGTCACCATATCCCTTCTTAACATCATCATAGCTTCGAACTGCAACTAAACACACTGCTACTGATGGAAAAGCACATTTTTAAAACTTTCAAAAATAACTTAACTACATACAAATTCAGCTGACAGGTATCAAACTTAAATCTAATGCTACAATATCAACAGAACAATCTTGCAGCTGTCCTCTCAGCCCTAAGGTACATCAACTGGATAGGGCCTTAATTCTTAAGAATTTCCTTTATAGTATCACCTGGATATAACACAGTCATTGTTTCTACCTTTCTATGACTAACAAAGGACTGACTTCTAGCAAACTGAGCCAATGGTTTTAGAAGTGCTGACGGCGCAGAATTCTGGTGTGTGTGGATGAGGGACTTGCTGTCGCCTCACATGCCATACCTGGTATGCACTGTGCTGTGGCCTCAGTGGTTATGGCTGGAGCCACTGGGGGCTGCTGCTGACTGGAGCTCACTTCTGGCTCTGTGTTAACTGAGGGAGAAAGGGCTACCTCACAGGAGGAGACCTGGCTGGGCAGATGGGACAGGAACTCTTCAGAAGCAACTTGCTCATCCTGTCCAGGCAGCTGCAGGGCAGACAAGGGGATACTGATCTGTTTGTTAGGATGGGATGTGCTCACAGGCATTTGCATGGCCACCTGTTGGTTGGCACCATGGCTACCAGGGGGTCCTCTGTTTGGCGAAGCCAGAGATACCCTAGCAGTCTTCTGGACAACTGGTCTGGAGATCACAGAGGGGGATGCAGACATACCGTGTGGGTCTAGCTCCGTGCTGATGGCAGATGTTACGTGGGGAATCAGTTTAGCAGACCCTACACAGGAGGGACCGGCATGAGTCTGAGGCTTGGGTTTTGCCATCTGTGTCAAGGACAGGGCTGGTCCATCTACCCCTCCTGTCAGTTCTGCATTTGCCACAATGTAATAATCTTCGGGGATCTCTTGTTTGATTTTCTTAATGATGACATCATTGCTGCATTCGTCAATCATCTGCGCCTGGGAGCTTGAATGGAGGGAAGATGGGACTATCCCAGGTCTTTTGCGAGCAATGCTTTGAGGCCTTTGGGTCTGGGGTTCAAAGTCACTATCCTCATCTGTAACAGAAGACTCACAAACCATGTCAAACAGGGTGTTCTCATCTTCATATTCTTCAACAGCTTCATCCAGTTCAGAGGGCTCACTACAATAGGAGAAGTCACAAGAGTCTCTGGTCCGGTTACAGTCTAGCTTTGCTTTCACTGGTCGCCCAGGGTACCTTTCAACAGGGCTAGTCTGTGTCTCAGAGGGCACCCCAATTATGCTGGGACTATCAGAGTTAAAACTTCTGTTATCCTGGAAACAGACCCTCTCTTGGGACCCAGCTCTGCAAGTAGCCGTTAGTGGCCAGTGATAAGCATGGCCAGCACTACAGCCCCACATTGCTGTCAGGTTCCCATGGGAACCTTCAGAGAGCAAGTGTTTCAGGTTTGGAATGAGGCTGCAAATAGTCCCATGGCTGTGGGCCCAGCTGACCAATTTGGACAGATTCTCAGATGAGGTATGAAGACAATCCTCCATGTTACAGGATCAGCAGTGTCTCTCCTAAAGGGAAATAATCAAAAGAAGAAGCCATTATTACCTGAGATACTCCTATGGCTCAATTACTTCAGTCTGTCCCAAATATGGTCATTTGGCATAAAAAAGAAATGCACCTCAAAACTGAATCTAGTCAATGTCACTGTAGATGAGGAGGGACTGGAAGAGAATACCAGGAAAGGTAAAAACAGCTCATGACTTATGGTTGTGGGATTTGGAGAAAAATTTTGTGAGTTTCCTTTATTGTTATAATAATTCCTGCCTAAGGAAAAAAAGAGAGAAAGAAAAAGAGAAACGAGCAATAAAAAGAGCTTTTCCATGGTGCATTTTATTTCCAAAGTCACTGACAAGAGAGGTTCAGATGGCCCCTCAATAATAACATTGTGTCTATTACTTGCATTAACTAAGAGCATGCAGCTCCAATGTCGCCCTTTGTCATCAGAAACTTCAATACTAGAAGCAGAGCCAACAAAGGAGGTTTGGATCCATCCTGGGATGTACATCAGAGAAAGGAAGCCCGTCCTGGCTGGGCACCAGAAGACAATGCAACTGGGAGTCCAAGGAGGGAATGAGGGACTCGATTTGAAAAGCGGGGAAGTCTTCAGCAGAGAAGGGACAGTAGACTGGGAGGAGACCTGCTGGATGGGGCAGTCTGTAGACCAAAGCAGCCAGCACAGGGAAGCAGGAGGCCCTGCTCTAACCACTCTCAGGAGCAGGCTTCCTGTCTCCTGGCTATCTACAAGTCCTGAAATACTGCCTGTCATTTATCATCAGAGATTACAAAGTAGGTCTGGTGTTTTCCACCATCTGAGGGTCTCTTAAAGCCAAGGATAACCAACTACCAAATAAAAGCAAATCATTCCATATTAGGCAGGAGACAAAAAGAAGTCTTTGTTAGTCACTGACGAGGCAGGACAACACGATGGGTAAGAAAGTGAAAGGGGACATGTGGAGTCTGCAAGGGGCTGGAAAGGTTAGTAAGGCTCTGCCAAGAGGGGGCTCCTGGGAGCACTGGGCAGGGAGGCACAGGAATCTTTATGTGTGGTTTAGTCGGCCCTGGCTATCTGCAGCTGTGGGTGACAAGACATGCCTTGCTGGTGCTCTGCACTCAGGCACCACAGTCTAACCACAATGACACCTGAGCCTCCATTCCCTGGCCTGACTCCATGGCTCCCGGTCAGGGAGGTTAGGTAAGTTCAAATCCTTTAACATACTATTAAGATCTCTGTTGATGTGGCCACAGCCACCTCTCAAGCCTCATTTCCTACGACCATGGCCTCTTCCCATACTTCTTGTGGTCCCCTCTTCTCTAAACTCCCTACTGGTGAGAGACTCATTCTTTCACTTGATATGCTGCCCTTCTCTTTCCTCACCTGGCCAGCCCCTTCAAAACTGAACCTGGGGCCACCTCCTACTGGCATCTTTCCAGACCCTCTTTCTGCTTAAGAGATTTATTTAGCTTCCTTTCACCCAAGCCTATATCCTCTCAAGAGATATGCCTTTGGTATACTATTATCATTGACTTGCCTGTCTGTCTCCCCGACTTGACTAAGGATTTCCTGAAGGCAGAAACTATGACTTAATTATTCACTCATCAGCGAGGACCTACTTGGGGATATGGAAATTCATAAGGCATGCTCCTGTTCTTGAGACATTAGAACCTATTGTTTAGTATGCAGTCATTGCCGAATAAATGAAGAGTGAATGAATGTTTATAAACTGCCAGCACCATCAATACTTACAAAGTGAATGTGTAAGACTCCCAAGTAGGAAACAGAAAATTTCCTCGGATCTCTTTTATTGTAACCATTCAAGGGATTAGAGGGTTTTCTCCCCTAGTGTAGCCAAAACCCAGCCGCCTTGTATATGCAGAAGAGTGACAGACAAGCAACCAGAGTTCATGAAGCAGCAAAGTGAACGGAAAGATCAGTGACTGGCGTGTGAGTCAGGAATGCCAAACCCCAAGCCTGGAACCGCGCTGCCTGTGGTTATCTCTAAGCCTAAAATGCCAGGACTACGTGATCTTACATTTCCTTCGTACTCCAGAAATTTAGACTTATTTCATTTATATTCCTTTCATATAACTTTGGTTAAAGTAGATATGCAAAAAAAAAAAAAAAAAAGACAAAGACTGGTTTATGTGTCTGTTTGTTCTGACTTTTATTTTTATTTTTTTTATGGAGACAGGGGTCTCCCTATGTTGCTCAAGCTGTTCTTAAACTGGGCTCAGGCAATTCTCCTTCTGTCTCAGCCTCCCAAAGCTCAGGGTTTACACGCATGAGCTACTGCACCCAGCCTGTTTTAAACTTAACATCACTAGTAATATTTAATTGGTGTGGCAGAGACTGCTATTTTGCCTACCCAGTGTCCATTCTCTTAGTCCTCACAGAGAGTCCCAATTTGTTGAGGCAGCAATGTGCTCATGAAAATACTTTCCCAACTTCCCCTGGAGCAAGGGCGGACCTATGACACAGGCATGGCCAAGGACATGTAAATGGAAGGGGTTTGGATCATAATCCTAAAAGACAAAATCCCAAATGCCATAGTCCCAAACGTTGAAATCTCGAAAGATCAAAATCCCTAACGTCTAAAATCCCAAAAATCACAATCATAGGGTAGCTACATCATGTTAGGTGGAACTATTACCTTGTTATTGTCTTTATTTGGAAATTAAATATGGTTTAAGGAGATGCATATGAGTGACAGACTGACATGGGGTGGATTTAAATTCAGGCATCAATTTGACTGGATTAAGACTTAGAAACCTAGTAAAGCGCCATTTGGGGGAATGTCTGTAAGGGTGTTTCCAGGAGAGATTAGTGTGTGAGTCTCAGTGGATTACATGAAGATCTTGCCTGAATGTTGACGGCACCATCCAATCAGCTGGGGCCCCAGAGAGAATAAATACAGGTGAATTGTTCTCTCTCCGAGAGCTAGCACAGGCTTCTCTTTCGCTGCCTTGGACATCAGAACTGGAGGCCTCCAGCCTTCAGACTCTGGGACTTATGCCAGCAGTTCCAAGGTCCTGGCCTTTCAGCCTCAGACTGAGAGTCACATCATCGCCTTCCCTGGTTCTGAGGCCTTTGGATTTGGATTGAACCACTACACCAGCAACCCAGGGTCTCCAGCTAGCAGACAGCCTGTTGTAAGACTTCTCAGCCCCATAATCACATGAGCCAATTCCCCTAATAAATCCCCTCTCACGTTTATATGCATATCCTATTACTTCTGTCTCTCTGGAGAATCTTGACTAATACAGATTTGGTACAGACAAAGCCAAGTGTCATTCCTTCTTACTGTATTCCTTACAACACAATAGAAGAGACTGAAATGTTCTCTTGCAAAAGAGCTGTGATAAGTTAATTATATAAGGTTACTAAATGGTGAAATATAAAACTTTAAAGGCTAATTATTACTGGTGCTGCCCAAGCAGAAAATCGCTTAATTGCAGCAGCTAAGCAATAGGCAGACTTTCACATGGATAGCATACACTTATAAAATTTGTAGACCACAACCACTTTCCAAACCCAAGTGCAGCAAGTGTTTCAAAGATCACAGAAGTGAAAACACAGGCAAAAAGTAAAAGAAATTTCCCCTGCCAAATTATTCAATTGTGTACGACTTCTGCCCCTTCACATACAGCACTATGCTTCCATTCAAAAAACACCCTTCAGCAGAGAATAAAAAGAATTCAATAAGCTCAGTGATCTTCTAAACCAAATACACTTGTTGATACTGAGGGTTCTTCAGTGTTTAAAAAAATAATAATAAATGGTGAACTATTCATGATTAGTGATTTGACTGTCAAAGAAGACAGATTTCTTATATTTACCACTAAATCTAATATAGAAGAACTAGCACATGCTTCGCTTTAGCTGATGAATTTCAAAATCATTCCCACTGTTTATCAACTACATATAATTCATGTCCCTGTTAGATGTGAAAATTCTAGAACTTATCCACTCAATTATGTATTAATGGCTAGAAAAAGTGAAGCACTTAATAAATGTTTACTTGGGCCAGGTGCAGTGGCTCACGCCTGTAATCCCAAACTTTGGGAGGCTGACGTGGGCAGATCACTTGAGGTCAGGAATTCAAGACCAGCCAGGCCAACATGGTGAAACTCCATCTCTACTAAAAACGGAAAAAAATTAGCCAGGTACAGAGGCACCTGCCTGTGATCCCAGCTCCTCGGGAGGCTGACACGGGAAAATCATTTGAACTCGGGTGGAGGTTGCAGTGAGCCAGATCATGCCATTGCACTCCAGCCTGGACAACAAGAACGAAACTCGTCTCAAAAAAAACCCCACATTTTTTTAAAAAGTGAAGTTCAAAGTGTTACCAATGAAGTTTGTATTTCCTATTCAGCCTAATGCATCTGGCAGGAAATTCAGAAGAGTGGACTGGCTACAACGATACAAACTTCAGTTAAAGGGGTCATTTGCCTACACTGGTATTCTTTTCAGCAGATGACATTCCAGAAGCTTTTAATGAATTAAAACCACATTGCCTGAAGAAGCCAGCAAAATAATGACTAGTTTAAAAATAATTATGTGCACAGTAGGATAAGAAGACATTTAATGTAATGGTGTTGCTGTTCCATCACTAGTACTGCTTCTGCCAAATTTGTGGTCTGTGTATGAGTACATGCAGAACGGATTTCCATCTACTCACAACTCAGAAGGATGGGGAAATTTAATAGGCAATGCTCATGTTGTATACCGAATCACAGAAGAATTCCAAAAAGAACAGTAACACATATAGAAGGAACAGGAACATATTCTCCATGGAAAGCCCTGTCCTAAAAGAAAAAAAGAAGCTATTCATCAACATAGAAGACTTCAAAATATAGTTAATGATCATGAAAGTCACCCAGCTCTTACAGACTACCTCCATGCAACTGCCATAATATATCCTTGCAACACACTTTTTTTTTTTTTTTTTTTTTTTTTTTTTTTTCTCTTAATTTTGCTCCCCTTTTTTTTTTTTTTTTTTTTTTTTTTTTTTTGGAGACAGGGTCTTGCTCTGTTGCCCAGGCTGGAGTGCAATGGTGAGATCACAGCTCACTGCAACCTCTGCTCCCCCGGGGTTTTGGTAACCCTCCTACCTCAGCCTCCCAAGTAGCTGGGACCACAGGTATGCACCACACCAGGCTACTTTTTGTATTAATTTTTTTTTTTTTTTGTAGAGATGGGGTTTTGCTATGTTGCCCAGGCTGCTCTTGAACTCCTGAGCTTAAGTGATCTACTTGAGCCTCCCAAAGTGCTGGGATTTCAGGCTTGAGCCACCACGCTGGGCCGAACACTATTTCTTT